TACATCGCGACCGGCTTCGCGGCAAGGGGCCCTGGGCAGGCCTCTCCATCGCGCCTCTGTGCGCCACCGCCTGCTGGCCCGTCTCCTCCAGGGCCGCCGCCGTTTTGCGCGGTGATGGATTCTGTCTGCTAAACCGCGATCGAGCGCGCCTCTGGCGCTGGCGCTGGCCTGAAGCTGCTTGATCAGGCGCCCGCGCAAGCGGCCGTTGCCGGAAACCTCCTCGCGCGCGCAATTCTGTAGGGCCTCGAGCTCACCGCGCACCTTGCGGATCGCTTGGAGCTCGTCAAGGTCGTCGCCAGTCGCGGCATCGGCGCAGAAAGACACAGCCAGTGGCGCCCCTGCGGGGAAGTCTGGGTCGAGCAGCGCGACGTTCACATCGTTCTCCTCCTCCTCCTCCTCCTCCTCCTCCTCCCCCTCGTCGTCCTCCTCCTCCTCCTTCTCCTCGTGCTCGGGCGCGCACTCCTCCCCGCCCAACCCCGCGCCGCCATCGCGGGCCGCGGCGCGGGCGTAGGCGGGGCTCTCCATCCGGTGCTCCAGCTGCTCCGAGACCTCGAAAAGCACTGCGATGCGTCGCGCGGCCACGGGGACAGCGCTGGCGTCGCTCATGTCGGCGTCTGCCCGCTGCAAGTCATGTCGCTGTTGGAGACCAACTGTGGGCAAGGAGGCCGCGCCCCCGCGCGCGCGCGCGCCCTCGAGCACGTTGGCCCGCCGAGCCCTGCCAGGGTCGCCCACGCGGCCCCCGCCAGGGCGACGACGACGGACTCGGTCAGGAACCGCTGCGCCTCGGCGGGGGGCGCGGGCAACTCGCCGCTGTTCTGGAGGCCCACCTCGCGAGAGGCCCCTGGCGCGCTGCCCGTGCAACACGCGCCAGCCATTGTAGAAATTGAGCCCAAGTGACAGACTTGCATAGAAATTCAACAGACATCTGCCTGCTGGCGCGCGCCCGCAAGGGCGCGGCTGGAGATCTCCCCCGACCTTCGCCCGCGGGAAGCATGAAACTCCCAGCGAGCCCCCCTGCCCTTCGTATCGAGGGCTGCTTTTCTCGGGCTCGGCGATGGTCTTGCTCGCGCGCGCGGCCCCGGGCTGGCGATCGCAGCCCCGTGCCCCGCAGTGGCTCGCCGCTGGGTCGGGAAGGAATCGGGGCTCGGCCAATCCAACTGTCGTTCGCCAGCGCGCGCGGCTGCATTCTCACTTCTGGCGCGCCCTCCAAAAATTCACCTCAACCGAAGCTCGCCTTCACGAGGGGCGCCGCCCGTGCTCGTCGAGGCTGAGGCCGGGCAGCCTGCGGGCGCGCAGCAGCCAACGCCACTCGGGCCCGCGCGGGCGCGGCTCGTTGGAGGCCCGCAGCTCGCGCCGCGAGATGAGAGGCCAGGTGCCAGCGAGCTCTGGTCGGCCTCGGGCAGGTCCGCGCGCGCCTCGCGCCACTGCCCCTGCAACGACAGCTTCGCGGCGACGTCCTAGCTGCACAAGTAGCACGGGCACGGCTGGCAGCACGCGGGCCCCCTGGGCCACTCGCATCGCCTGCCGAGAATTGCGCCGCCGGGGTCGCGGGCCTCGGTCTGGCGCACCGTGCCCCACGATGTGCTGGTCGGGACCACTGTCTCCGGAGAGGCCATGTCCTCGGGCGAGCGTTACCGGAGCAGCAGGTAGCCGTGCTCGCCCCTGACATCCTCCAGCCGCGCGCGGCGAAGGACCCTCGAACCTCCCAACACAAGGCGATCGTCCGGCTCGCAGGCCTCGCCTTCAGGTGGCCATGCTGATCGCAGTGCGCCCGCATGTTCTCGCGCAGGGGCTTCTGCCTCCCTCTCGGGGCGTTGCTCGCCCGGGATCTGGTCAAGCAGCTGCTGCCGCTGCGCCGCGTCGCCCGGCGAGAGCTGCTCGCCTGGGGAGGCGTTCGCACGCCTGCGCGCCAGCGCGCCCAGAGGTCGCCGTCGCTCATGAGCTCTGCGGCCGCCGGGGCCAGCTGCCGCAGCAGGCCCACCACCCGCAGCAGGCCCACCCACGCTGGAAAGGCTCGCCTACCACGCGCAGGCGCAACTCCTCCGGACAAGACCCCAAGAGCAGCTCCTCCCGCAGCGTGTCCACGCCGTGGCGCTTGCTGCTGATGTCTGCCTGCGCCGCGCGCAGCCCCGCGGCCTTCGCCGCGCGCCTCGCTGCTGGCATCCCAGGTCCGCCTGTGCAGCGCCGCCCTGGCATCCACGGCGGCCGCCGTGCCTGGGGCGCGCGTTCGGGCCCGGCGCGCGGCCTCCATGGACGTCCTCCGCGACGTGTTGCTGCTTCTCCTCTTGCGGGCGGGGGCGTGGAAGGCTTGGGCCGATCCCCCCAACCGGTCGCAATTGCGAGCGCTTCTCCCGCCTCGCGCCTCGATCGGCCTCCAGCGCTCCGCGCGCCGGGCGCTCTCGAGATCCGGGCGGCTGCACCTGGAAGGCCATCGCAAGTCATCCGTGGCCAGGGACATCAGCAGGGCCCGGCAGGCAGCCTCGTCGCGCTGGTGGGAGCTGGCGTAACCTCGCGGCAGCAGCTGCGAGCGCTTGTCGGCGGCGGCTGGCCTCTGCTGCCAGGCCTGCCCCTGCAGCCCTCGAGGCCCCTATAATCTGCCCGTAGCGGGAGGTGGCACGTCCTGCACCACGCACAAGAAGCTCGGCCGCCTGCACCTCCTCGCCACTCGGGCGTCCGCCTGCACAGGGCTCGAGGCGGTAATCCTTGCTATTCTTCCTCTCGGGCGCAATCAGCGTCACAGCGGCACACAGCGCGACGTAGCCCACGCGAACCAGACGCCGTGCCATCCTTCCGAGCGAAGTCGGCCAGCGGGGGACCCGGCAGGGCGCTGGCGGCCTCGAGCCAGGGTGTGCTCCAGCGTCGTCGTGGTCGTCGTGGCCGTCGTCGTCGCCGCCGCTCTGCCCGTGTCCCTCCTCCTGCGCAGCGCGAGGGAGGGCGGTCCTGGCAAGCGCTCCCAGGGTGTCTGGTATCTCCCCCTTGGTGGCCAGGGCACGGATAGCAAGCGTTTCGCGAGAGACCTCCTCAACATATTCTGCAGAGCAAGCGTTTCGCTGGAGACATGCTCTAGATCAGCAGCGCGATTTCTTCGCCTAACACATCCGCAGACGAGTACTCAAAGCAAGCCTCAGGAGAGGGGCAATCTGTATCAATATACGCAAACGCATACTATTCGACCCACCGATGAGAGGGGACAATCCATAGGAGCATACGAAAAAACACAAAAAGACACGAACCCCAAGAGAGGGGCAAGCCAGAGGAACATGCGTAAAGCCCGACGGACTCGAGCCCCAGGAGAAGGACAATCTATAGGAGCATACAAACAGTACGAAGGAAATTCGAGCCCCACGAGAGGGGCTATCTATACCTAAGACCTGCGTCCCTGAAACATCAGGGCTTCGAGCACCGGGACAAGGGCAATATATAGGAATACGCGTAAATGTCCACGGATTCGAGCCCCAGGGGAAGGGCAATCTATAGGAGCCCGCGAAGAACACCAAGGATTCGAAAGGGCGATGTATATTATAATCTTTTTGACGGCCTGGAGGGGAATCCTCGACAAACTCAGCGGAACGGCCGTTTCGCTCGAGGCATCCTCAACAAACGGGAGATACAACTTTTCCATCGCAATTAAAAAAAACAGCGTTTTGCTTCAATCATCCTTCAAATTTCATCCGCCGAGACTGCGCGACCTTGGTACGCATCGGCAAAATTAGCCACTCCTGCGCGAACTTGGCACCAAGGACACATTACCATCCTAAAAGAAAACCCTGGGCCCGAGCCCTATCCGGGAACAAACCGCAATCCTTAATGATGTATACCAAATTCGGGCTCTCGAAGCCGGAATCCATTGCGAATTGCAAATGGTTCGCGCTCCCGAAGCCGGAATCCATAGTACATTACGCCAGTCTCGGGGCCCCGGAACCAAAATCCCTCGCACATTGTGCTAGATTCGCGCCGAGGCCGGCACCCCTTGCAAATCACGCCAGACTCGCGCCCCCGAGGCAAGAGTCCTGTTGCAGGTGGCGCCAGATCCCCGCGCCCGAGGCTGGAAGGCTGTAGTCCGTTCTTGCAAACTGTACCTCGGGCTCGCGCTCCCGGGCTCCGATTCCCCGTAAAACTGCACCGGGCTCGCGCTCCTGAGGCAGCGATCCCTAGCGAACCACGCCAGGTTCGCGCGCTCTGAAGCGGGTGAGCCAGAGCGTGCAACCTGCTGAGTGCCAGTCGCCCTCGCAGGATGTTCCCCGAAGCTTTCAAGACAGAGCAGACACGGAGATGGAGGAGGAGGAGGAGGCGGAGGAGGAGAAGGAGGAGGCGGAGGAGGCGGAGGAGACGGAGGACGAGGAGGAGGACGAGGAGGAGGAGGACGAGGAGGAGGACGAGGCGGAGGAGGGGGAGGAGGAGGAGTCCCAGCGCAGCTCTGACAGCCCCCACTCTGCCAGAGACAGGGTCGCCAGCGGCAGAGCGCGGAGCCCCCGCTGTAGGGACATTTGCAAGGCGAGCGGCGCGCAGGTGCGGACCCGAGCGCACGAAGCGCACGCATAGGACCTCCTGCTCGACAGACACGTGAGCGATTCCGAAAACCCTGATCCCAAAAACGTTTTCACCTCTCGGGGGTGCACTTTTTACTTCCGCCGCCTTCCGCCGAGCTTCCGCCGGCGGAGGCGGCCTCCGTCTACTTCCGCCGACCTTCCGCCACGGAAAAGATAACAACTCCTTTGATCCTCGAAGGCAAAGCCCTTTCGGGAGCGCCCCACATAAACCTCCTTCCCTCGCTCGGAGCTGCGGCAGCATCACAACAGGTGGAAATCAGTCCTTGGCGCGGGAAGCTGCGAGTCATGATAATGTGCCCAGACATTGGCGGCACATAGTCATCTTGGTTGGACCGGGCAGCAATGACCATCTGAGGTGTATAAACCGACGCAAACCTTTGGGCACCCCTCTGCTTGAGAAATCTGCCTTCTCTCTTCTTATGTCTCATTATTATTATTATTAGTATTATTCCGCCCTCCGCGCCTTTTTCTGGCCGAACGAAACCCGTGAGTAAGGGGATATGTCAGGCCGCATCCCGTCAGGAAGGAACGTCCACAAAAGCAGCAAACGAAATGCCCACGCCTGAGCAGAACGTCCACGCGGGACTCGTAGCAAAGGTCATGCGGCAGTACGTCACGGAATGGCAGTGCACGACCACGGTGGCCCGAACGAGGAGGATGAGGAGGAGGAGGAGGAGGAGGAGGAGCATGATGAGGGAGCTGGAGGAGGATTCGGAGGGGGGAGGGGATTGGGGACCTGCCGCGCACGCACATTAAACAAAACGGCCACGCTGTCGGGACACAGGCAACACGACCCGGCATGGCAACGAAGCAATCTGGAATGGCATAGCGAGCGTTTGGGGAGAGCCCACAAAGGCAGCGAGCGAAATACTCACGCCTAAGCAGGACGTCCACGCGGGTCTCGCAGCGAAGCGCGTGGTGCATCCCTGAATGGCAGTGCGCGACCACGGCGGCCCGAACGAGGAGGAGAAGGAGGAAGAGGAGCAAGATGAGGGAGCTGGAGGAGGGTTCGGAGGAGGAGGGGAGGGAATTGCGGACCTGCCGTGCAAGCAAGATATAATCGGCCACGCGGACGGGACACAGGCGAAATGACCCGGCGTGGAATAGAAGCAGTGTGGCATGGCACAGCGAGCTTTCGGGCCATTGCGCAAAGTGCCCGTTGGTGCAAGGCATCATTTGCGGGAGAAAATCGAAATGAGATTGCCTGGGCTACTTTGCAGCACCACTGCATCGGCACATCATGACCTGCCACACATGGTAGGAAAAGATTTTGCGGTAGAGCTTGACCTGACTGCAGCCGAGAGGGCCCGTAACTCTCACCGCACCCAAGACCTCGCCCCGCACTGAAGTCACGCTGGGTCCAGATTCATCAGGCATGTCGCGTTTCCCCTCCTCCTCCTCCTCCTGCTCCTCCTCCTCCTCCTCCTCATCCTCCCCTACCCTGTCCCGTGCTCGACGCCTCCTGCCCCCCGCCCTCCGACCAGTCTGCGCCCCGCCTGGCAGGAATAATGACCCTGGCGACGTACCCAACCCCTGCGCAACACGGGGCATGAGTAGCTTGGGAGACGTTATACGGAGGTGATGACGTGACATGGGCGCATATAGTTCTGCAAGCGGCATTCGTGATGTCCCGCTCAGATCTGCCTGGTGCCTCGCTCCGCAGGACCCACCAGCAGCCCTCGAAAGTGGCGACAATTTCGCAGATCGCAGCCCCCCAGGGACGGCGAGGTCCGGCTCAGATCCGCGCGGTGCCTCACTCCGCAGGGCCCACCAGCAGCCCTCGAAAGTGGCGACAATTTCGCAGATCGCAGCCCCCCCCCAAGGACGACGAGGTCCCGCTCAGGTCCGCGCGGTGCCTCACTCCGCAGGACCCGCCAGCAGCCCTCGAAAGCGGCGACGGTTTCGCAGATCGCAACCCCCCAAGGACGGCGAGGTGCCGCTCAGGTCCGCGCGGTGCCTCACTCCGCAGGACCCACTAACAGCCCTCGAAAGTGGCGACCGTTTCGCAGATCGCAGCCCCCCAGGGACGGCGAGGTCCCGATCAGGCCCGCGCGGTGCCTCACTCCGCTGGACCCACCAGCAGCCCTCGAAAGTGGCGACATTTTCGCAGACCGCAACCCTCCAGGGACGGCGAGGTCCCGCTCAGGTCCGCGCGGTGCCTCACTCCACAGGACCCACCAGCAGCCCTCGAAAGTGGCGACATCTCGCAGATCGCAGCCCCCCAGGGACGGTGAGTCCCGCTCAAGTCCGCGCGGTGCCTCGCTCCGCAGGACCCACCAACAGCCCTCGAAAGTGGCGACCGTTTCGCAGATCGCAGCCCCCCAGGGACGGCGAGGTCCCGCTCAGGTCCGCGCGGTGCCTCACTCCGCAGGACCCACCAGCAGCCCTCGAAAGTGGCGACAATTTCGCAGATCGCAGCCCCCCAGGGACGGCGAGGTCCCGCTCAGGTCCGCGCGGTGCCTCACCCCGCAGGACCCACCAGCAGCCCTCGAAAGTGGCGACATCTCGCAGATCGCAGCCCCCCAGGGACGGCGAGGTCCCGCTCAGGTCCGCGCGGTGCCTCACCCCGCAGGACCCACCAGCAGCCCTCGAAAGTGGCGACCGTTTCGCAGATCGCAACCCCCCAGGGACGGCGAGGTCCCGCTCAGGTCCGCGCGGTGCCTCACCCCGCAGGACCCACCAGCAGCCCTCGAAAGTGGCGACGGTTTCGCAGATCGCAGCCCCCCAGGGGCGGCGAGGTGCCGCTCAGGTCCGCGCGTTGCCTCACCCCGCAGGACCCACCAGCAGCCCTCGAAAGTGGCGACGGATTCGCAGATCGCAGCCCCCCAGGGATGGCGAGGTCTGATTTGGGTCCGCGCGTGGCGTCACTGTGCTGGGCCCCCCAGCAGGCCTCGAACGTGGCGACAGTTTCACAGATCGCAGCCCCCCAGGGATGGCGAGGTCTAATTTGGGTCCGCGCGTGGCGTCACTGTGCTGGGCCCCCCAGCAGGCCTCGAAAGTGGCGACAGTTTCACAGATCGCAGCCCCCCAGGGATGGCGAGGTCTAATTTGAGTCCGCCCGTGGCGTCACTGTGCTGGGCCCCCCAGCAGGCCTCGAAAGTGGCGACAGTTTCACAGATCGCAGCCCCCCAGGGATGGCGAGGTCTAATTTGGGTCTGCCCGTGGCGTCACTGTGCTGGGCCCCCCAGCAGGCCTCGAAAGTGGCGACAGTTTCACAGATCGCAGCCCCCCAGGGATGGCGAGGTCTAATTTGGGTCCGCCCGTGGCGTCACTGTGCTGGGCCCCCCAGCAGGCCTCGAAAGTGGCGACAGTTTCACAGATCGCAGCCCCCCAGGGATGGCGAGGTCTAATTTGGTCCGCGGTGGCGTCACTGTGCTGGGCCCCCCAGCAGGCCTCGAAAGTGGCGACAGTTTCACAGATCGCAGCCCCCCAGGGATGGCGAGGTCTAATTTGGGTCTGCCCGTGGCGTCACTGTGCTGGGCCCCCCAGCAGGCCTCGAAAGTGGCGACAGTTTCACAGATCGCAGCCCCCCCAGGGATGGCGAGGTCTAATTTGGGTCTGCCCGTGGTGTCACTGTGCTGGGCCCCCCCCCAGCAGGCCTCGAGAGTGGCGACAGTTTCGCTGATCGCTGCCCCCCAGGGATGGCGAGGTCTAATTTGGGACTGCCCGTGGCGTCACTGTGCTGGGCCCCCCGGCAGGCCTCGAAAGTGGCGACAGTTTCACAGATCGCAGCCCCCCCAGGGATGGCGAGGTCTAATTTGGGTTTGCCCGGGGCGTCACTGTGCTGGGCCCCCCAGCAGGCCTCGAAAGTGGCGACAATATCACAAATCGCAGCCCCCCCAGGGATGGCGAGGTCTAATTTGGGTCTGCCCGTGGCGTCACTGTGATGGGCCCCCCAGCAGGCCTCGAAAGTGGCGACAGTTTCACATATCGCAGCCCCCCCGCAGGCAAGACAGGAGGAGGCAAGAGGGAGACGGGACGGGAAGGAGGAAGTGGAGACCACACTTCTCTATTCAAAACGAATACCCAACCAAGGAGGGTTGGGGAAAATATCAGCTTCTGGCGACGGACACCAATTCGAGGTGTGGGCCGCTTGAAGATGACGTGGCCGCTCGTCCTGACCTCCCCCTCCGCCCCTTTTCGCGGCAACTCATGGGGAATCCCCGTACCACCTTGTCGGCCCGACGCTCATGGACCCATCGGCGCTACGTCGACGCTGATCGACGCCAGTCGATGCCAAACGGGCCCCATCTCATCGATTACCAGACGCTACGACCCCCCCTCCCCGACCCCTCACCCCCCCTCCCAATTCGATCGACGCTAGTCGATGCAACACCGGCCCTATTTCATCGTTTACCAGACGCTAGTCGCTCCCCCCTCCTCCCCTCCCCCCACCTTCCAGTTCGATCGTCGATGCAACGCTGGCCCTATCTCATCGATTACCAAGACGCTCACCGACCCCCCTGTGGACTTTGGATTGTACGGGAGTGACCGACTGTATGGATACAGAGAGACACGAGGTACAAATAGGGGGGCCCGTGCTAGAAGAGAACACGTTCTCTTGCCTTTTTCGGAAGCGTGGGCGCGTCCGTCACCGGCGCGCCACGATAGCTCAAGGGTCCTTGTGAGCCGACATGGCGGCGCATAAGGGAGTGCGGAGAGAGGCGCAGGAGGGGGATAGGCTGACAGGGGCTCAGCAACCAAAGCTCTTACCTTTCTTGCAGCCGAAACGCCGCCTCGCCTCAGAAGAAGCAATTCCTCTCTCAATAGATACCGTAGCCATTCTACTTACTACCAGAGCCTCAGTGACATTCAGGGACGTGCAGCTGGTGCAACTCCACGAACACGCAGGACTTGAGAGCATCTCTAGGAGAGCTCCTTGAAGGGACTGTCCGACCCAAGACACGCGATGAGGTCTTCCGACTTCGCTGCGTCCGTCGCCTGCCCCATCTGATCCATGAAACTCTGTAGCTCGATTCCGCGTGGGTCGTACGGTTTGCCAGTGCGCTCCAGGAAACGATCTGCCGCGCTGAGCTCCTCGGTCCACTGAGGAACCCATCTCTCGTCCTTCGGAACCAGCTTGACGTCGGTAATCGGGAAGTCGGAGTCCTCGATCGCATCATCTGAGTACGCACGTACACTCGGAAGCGCTATCGGGGCGACCTTTGCCGCGAGGTACATCCTGGGCGTGCGATTCCAGACCGTGTGCCATCCAAAGATTTGCCCCTTCGCCTGTAGCTTGTCCCAGATCTCCCTCATCGTCGTAGCGTGGATCCAGAGCGCCGCTGCTTGTGAACATGCATCTTGGGATAGCCTGCGCGACGGTTGCGATCAACATGCAGCTCGAAAAGACAGGGGTACAAGTTCATCTCAGGGCTGACGTCGGACGACACATGCACCAATCTAGTGGGCACAAGAGGCGCGGCGAGTTGTTATTTCGCAGACAATGCCGTATACGTTTTCGCAGCTCGAAGGTCCTGGCTTCAACTCGAACAGGCCCTTCTTGCTCCAGATAGACGCCAGCGCTGCCAAGTTGGCACCGTGGAAGAGTCTCGATCTGGGCCTCCTACTGGTTGAGCTCCTTGTCGCGATCTCCCCAGCGCATGCCGGCGCCATATCCATCGCCGACCGCTGTCCGGTTGGGTGCGTAATTGGCCCCTTGACATGGGGACCATCGGTGAGTCCTGAAAAGCTCACGAGTGAAGCGGGATCCACTGGGGACTAGGGGCTCCCAAATTGAGCTTCCAGAACCAACGCGGCCAAAACAGTCATAGTGACGGAGGGCGTCGAGTAGGTGGCCCCTCGACACGTTGACCTGGTGACCCGTCCTCCAGCGGTCGCTCATCACATACTTGAAGGTCCTCCTGTTCCCCCTGGACAGCTAGTAGGCCTTCCTCCAGTTGGCACCGATGTACTTTTCTACATGTCCAACAAGTATCTCACCTTCTCTGCTGGAGGCCCTTCGAGTCCTGGAGCTGCAACACAATGATCAATAGTCACCGCAGCCTTCATAGCCTCAGAGACGGACCCGCCCACTGGCGGATGAGTCTCGACGGGGCCTTTGGGGATCCCAACTGCACCGTTCAACTCGCCGAGGTTCTTGATCTGGCCTCGGTCATGTCTTCTCCTGGGCCCGCCTCTCCGAGGATCTTGATCTGGCCCGAGGCGCCCTCGATGGCCTCGATGGCCTTCTTTCGCCGCCCCCCCCCCCAGCTGTCGACCATAAAATTGCTTCTCCTCGTGAGGAGGATGCCATAGGTTTCCATCGATCTTCGGAGGTTTAGCGCAGTGCATGCTGGGGATGATGGCCAGCGCCGCAGGTACCCAGCGAGGCAGATCTCTGAGTGGCGTAGCGACGAGATCGGACATCAGGCGAGGATCGGAGGGGC